TATATATATATATATATATAAAATATGGAGTCAAATTCAATACTCAAGGATTTTTTTTTTTTTGGTAAAGTACCGACAAAAAGAAAAACAAAACAAAATTACAATCTAACAAACGGACCTCCAGCTATGTCCGCTAACACCTCAGACTCCACCTCAGGTGGAGGGGAAACAATTTCCTCCACCTCTAGACCTCGCATTAAATACTCAAGGATTTACAATACTTATATCCTCACTCAATCATTTGAGTTATATCTTCTTGATTGAATAAATAATTAATTTAGTGCTTTGAGTGTTATTCTTTCTTATAAATAATTTTTAAAGTTATAAAATTATATAAATAATCATTAAATATATTTAATTTTTAATATTTAGGAGACTATGTAGTATACTTTTTTAATAAACTTAAATATGTTTTGAGTTCTTATAAAATGAGTGAATTTTATTTTTGATTTTTATAAAAAACAATTCTTTAATTTTTATCCTTCAAAATATGAAATTATTTTTTTTGGTTCCTACCATTATATGACACTCATTAAGTAATCATATGTTTAACTGAAAGTTAAGATTCATCGATTAGTGACATGAGAGTTATCTGATAACTTTTAAATTCCTAAATTGTATATTATTTATTTAATTTAAAATGATTATTGTAACAATAAATATATTCATATTTTAGAGAGATTAAGATCAAATAAAAATATTTTATTAAGATTAAAATAAAAATTCAGTCATTTTATTACAAGGATAAAAAATAATATGTTAAAATTTAAAGAAATAAAAAACAAAAACAACAAAAATTGGCAAGCATCAAAATCAAAGTTGCACATAAATTACTTATCTGATTTCATTATTTAAAGACTATTTAGTGGAGAGAGAAATACTTTAATGATTAAACTAATGATTTATCTTTAAAAATAAATACTTTTGTGTATTTTAAAACATTTTTTCTAATGCTTAAATTGGATAATATATATATATATATATAGAATTAAATTCAAAGCACATTGTCAACATTTTAATATTTTTTTGATAAAAAATTAATAAATTTTTGAATAATTGAATGACTTAATTTAATGCGTATTTAATAGCATTGTATGGCAATTAAAAAAAACAATAAAGTTATAATAATTTAAAGTCAACTTATTTAACCGCAAAATTAAATACTTATTACATTAAAATTATAAAATTGTAATAAATACTTTTTATAAACATTTATTTTAATTAAAATTTTGATTTCTATAATTTGGTAAATTTCATGTCGATCGAAGTTCCTATAGTAAAAAATATTTTGTTTTAATTCTTATTAATTTTGTATTTATTTAGTTCAATTTCATAAATTTTACTTTTTAATATTTATAGTAATAGACGTCAATTTTATTTTATTTTTAAAAAAAAAAGAGTATGTATAAAAATTAAAATAAAACATATTTAACTAAATAGACTAAAAGAAAGTTTATAAAATTACAGTAGCCAAAATAATAATTAAACTTAAATAGTTTTACTTTACTGACCAACATGTGAATTAATTGTTATAAGGTTATTTTGGCTTAATTAATAATATTGAATTTGAATCTTAAATATATAATTATATTAAATATTTAGAGAAAAAAAATATTATTTTACTGTCTATAGTAAATTTTATCAACTCGATCAACAATGTACCATGCAGAAGAGAGAAAATATACGTGAACGTCAGATCAGATCTTTCATTAATTATTTTTATTTATTTATTTAATTTCATTTCTAAATATTTATGTTAATAAAGTCGTTTACTTAATATTGATGTTTAAAAACTGTTCAGAATTCAGATTAATGGAGTATGATTTTGTGCAGTTGATTACATGACTTCAGGTCTTGCATTCATAATCGAAGGGTTGAAGTATTTTTAAACTTATATTTCATTAAACTTTAATATAAGAAAAATGAACGGTAGAGATTGATGTTGCACTTTTTGATTGATTACAGAAAATGTAAATTTGAATTTGAGTACAGATAAGATTAAGACACAACGCATGCAGTAGGGCAAGTGGTGTCAGAAATTAAGAATGAAGGGTCCTCTGATCGTTCTTTTTAATATTTATGTCGTGTTAACTTTTGTTGTTTTTGCTGGACATGTGGCTTCTACAACCAACTTTCGTTAAAAAACAAGAAACCCTTCATTATTTATCGTTCTCCATGTTTATGGGTTAACAAATTATCTAAGATCTAGTAGATATGTGTTGTTATAGATGATCAGTTAGATCACTTAGATGCGTATGATATATTACACACAGATGCCAATTTATTAGATCCACAAGATCTTAATATACACAGATGTTAATTTATTAAACCCATATGATCTTTCAATCTTGGGTTGATTCGTAGATCTATGACTCCAATTTACTCCACATTTTTAATAGTTTGGGACGACTAGTACTATAACATGTAATAAAGTTCATTCCAGATTTTTATCCAAGTTACATAGATTCTTGATTAAACTAACCAGATTTTGCGAGCCATTTAATTTA